AATTCCTAAATTTTAATTAAACATTAAATTTTATTATAAATTAGTTAAATTTAAAAAAGTTTAGTTAATTTGTGTAAAAAAAATCTACTTTTAGTAAAATTTTTTTAAAGTTTAGTAAACATTTTTAAATTCTTGCAAAAATTAGTAAAATAAAGTAAAATTTAGAAGTTGCTTTTTTCATAAATCAAAAAATTCCAGTAAAGCTAGTAAAGATTAAAAAACTTAGTTTACAATTTTCTACTAATATTGACTGAGTTCTACTAAACTTTACTAATTTTTACTAATAATCACTGTGTTCTACTAAAGTTTAACAAATTTTACTAAAGTTTACTAATTTTTACCAATATTTACGGAGTTTTACTAAACTTTACTAATTTTTACTAATATTCATATTCATTTACTAAATTTTACCAAATTTTTACTAATTCTGGCTGAGTTCTATTAAATTTTACTAAATTTTACTATAATTTACTAATATCTACTAATATTGATTGAGTTCTACTAAACTTTACTAATTTTTACTAATATTCATTGTGTTCTACTAAAGTTTACCAAATTTTACTAAAATTTACTAATTTTCCCTAATTTTGACAGTGTTTTTACTAAAGTTTACTAAAGTTTACTAATTTTTACCAATATTTACGGAGTTTTACTAAACTTTACTAATTTTTACTAATATTCATATTCATTTACTAAATTTTACCAAATTTTTACTAATTCTGGCTGAGTTCTATTAAATTTTACTAAATTTTACTATAATTTACTAATATCTACTAATATTGATTGAGTTCTACTAAACTTTACTAATTTTTACTAATATTCATTGTGTTCTACTAAAGTTTACCAAATTTTACTAAAATTTACTAATTTTCCCTAATTTTGACAGTGTTTTTACTAAAGTTTACTAAATTTTACTAATTTCTACTAATATTGACTGAGTTCTACTAAACTTTACTAATTTTTACTAATATTCATTGTGTTCTACTAATATTGACTGAGTTCTACTAAATTTTTAACTAAAATTTACTCAGTTTCACTGTAATTTTCTATAACATCACTAAAATTGACAAAATTTTACCTAAATTTTCTATTTTTTAAAATAATATTGATCAAAAATATGAAATACTATATAATGAAAAATAAAATTCAAAATAATTTATAATAAATAAAAATGTAGAATAATTTTAGGGGTTAAAGAACTCGTTCTTGTTTTGTGCGAGTCACGTATTTCATGAATTTTCTAATAGCTCTATATATTTTAAGTATACAGTTTTCTCTAACAAGACTATAATTTTGTTAAAAACAAATTACGTGTATATATAGTATATTTATTATATATTTGCAAAAAAAAATTTCAAAGCCAAGTAGGTTAAGGAGGTTCGAGTTTGCAAAAAAAATAAAAAAAAAAAAAAAATAACTAAAACCATCAAAACATGACATGTTAAAAGAAGCGGCTTGTCATTAAAATTACCCATTACATTATGATTTATTAAATAAATTATATTACAAAGTTAACTAATAGTTTGAAATTTATTATCAATAACATTCTGTGTCATTAAAATGAGAAAGAAAAAAAAAATTGAAAATGAAGAAAAAGAAGAGGAGGAGAAAAAAAAATTGCAATTAGTCAAAGAGAAAAGCACCGTTGCAACAACACAGACAATAATCAAGTGAGCGATACATTAATTATTCTCGCCTTTCTCTCTCTCTCTCTCTATTTATTTTCTTTCTCTCCTATTTCTCTCTTACTCTCTTTCTCTATTTATTTATTTTATTTCTCTTTTTTTCTTTTCTTTTTTTCTCTTTGTCTCATTCTCCTTCTTCTTCTCTTTATTTTCCTTCTTCTTTTGTCTTTATTTTCTTCTTCTTTCTTTTTCTCTTTTCCTTCTTTTTTCTCACATTTCCTTCTTCTTTTCCCTTTTTTCCCTTCTCTCTTTTTCTATTCTTTCTCTTTTCTCCCTTCTTTCCTCTTTTCCTCTATCTTCTCTCGTTTCCCCCTTATTTTGTCTTTTTCTCCTTCTCCTCTTTCTTTCTTTTTTTCTCTTTTCTTCTTTTTCCTGTTTTTCTTTTCCTCTTTCTCTCATTTGCCTGTTTTTTCTCCTTCTTCTCTCCTTTTTCTTCCTCTTTTACATTTTTCTGTTTTCCTCCTTTTATCATCTTCTCTTTTCCTCCTTTTATCTTTATAAGATTTTTTTTTCTTTTCAATTATATTTTTTATTTTTTCTTCACTTATTTTTTTTCTCTTTCTCTCTCTCTCTCTCTCTTTATTTTTCTCTCTTTCTTTTTTCCATTCTTTCTTCATTTCTCTCTTTTTTCCACTCTTCTTTTTTTCTTTTCTTTATTTTCTTCTCTGTCTTTCTTTCTTCTTCTTCACTTTTTCTTTCTTCTTTTGTCATCTTTTCTGTCAGAAAAATAAAGAGAGACAAAAAATAAAAGAGAGAGAAAGAGAGAGAGAGAGAAATTTTTTTTTACTCTTTATATTATCTTTCTCTCTTTCTCATTTTTCTCTCCTCTTGTTCTTTTTGTTTATTTTTTTCACTTATTCTTTCTTTTCATTATTGTTTTGCCCCGGAGCACTCTTGAGAGAGAAAGAGGAAGAGAGAGAGAGAGAGGGAGAGAAACTTCGTGAGAAACCGCTTTGAATCATTTATCCTGACTTGGACGCCCACGAATCTTAAGAATTTTGCACTTGACACTTGCTCAGTTATTATATAGTGGAAATATTTTTACATTCTAATTCCTTTTGAATTCAAATTTTGTTCGCTATCAAATTTTACTTTAGTGAAAAAAAATGTAAAATAAACGAAAAAACAACCTAATTTTTACTACACTTAAAAAAACAAGAAGAATAGTAATAAAGTACTTTTAAAGTACTCTGTATGGAAATTTATTTAAACTTTTAGTATTTTTACTAAAATTTTAAAAGCAAATTAAAAAACTTAATTTTCTACTAAAATTTACAAATTATTACGAAAATTTATTAAGTTTCAGTAAAAGTTACTAGATTTTATTAAAATTTACAAAATGTGACAAAAATTTACAATATTTGACTAAAATTTACTAAAAATTACAAAAGTTTACTAGATCTGACTAAAATTTACTAAAGCTTACTAAAATTTTAGTAAATTAAAAAAAATTATTAAATCTTTTAAAAGTTTACTAAACTTTACAAAAAATAACTAAAACTTACAAAACTATGTAAAATCTTACTAAAAATGTACTAAATTTGACTAAAATTTACTGAAACTTTGGTAAATTTTATAAGAAAATTATTAAATTTTGCAAAACTTTACAAAATCTTATCAAAATTTACAAAATGTGACAAAAATTTACAATATTTGACTAAAATTTAGTAAAAATTACAAAAATTTACTAGATCTGACTAAAATTTACTAAAACTTACTAAAATTATAGTAAATTAAAAAAATATTATTAAATCTTATAAAAGTTTACTAAACTTTACAAAAAATAACTAAAACTTACAAAACTATGTAAAATATTACTAAAAATGTACTAAATTTGACTAAAATTTACTGAAACTTTGGTAAATTTTATAAGAAAATTATTAAATCTTTCAAAACTTTACAAAATCTTATCAAAATTTACAAAAAATAACTAAAACTTACAAAACTATGTAAAATCTTACTAAAAATGTACCAAATTTGACCAAAATTTACTAAAACTTTGGTAAATTTTATAAGAAAATTATTAAATCTTTCAAAACTTTACGAAATCTTATCAAAATTTACAAAAAATAAGTAAAACTTACAGAACTATGTAAAATATTACTAAAAATGTACTAAATTTGACTAAAATTTACTAAAACTTTGGTAAATTTTATAAGAAAATTATTAAATCTTTCAAAACTTTACAAAATCTTATCAAAATTTACAAAATGTGACAAAAATTTATAATATTTGACTAAAATTTACTAAAAATTACAAAAATTTACTAGATCTGATTAAAATTTACTGGATCCGATTAAAATTCACTAAAACTTACTAAAAAATTTTAGTAAATTTTTTTAAAAACTTATTAAATCTTATAAAAGTTTATTAAAATTTACAAAAAATAACTTAATCTTACAAAGCTTTATTAAATCTTACTAAAAATGTACTAAATTTGACTAAAATTTACTAAAACTTTGGTAAATTTATTAAGTCTTAGAAAAGTTTACAAAATCTTGTTAAAATTTACAAAATGTGACAAAAATTTAATATATCTGACTAAAATTTACTTATACTTTAGTAAATTAAAACAATTACTACATCTTACAAAAGTTTACTAAATCTTAGTAAAATTTACTAAATGTGACAAAAATTTTCTAAAATTTACTAAATCTTACAAAACTTTATTCAATCTTACTAGAATTTTAGTAAATTTTTACAAAAAATTATTAAATCTTACAAAAGTTTACAAAATCTTATTAAAATTTACAAAATGTGACAAAAACTAAAAATTACTAAAAATTACTAATACTTACTAAAATTTTAGTAAATTTAAAAAAAAAATATTAAATTTTATAAAAGTTTAGTAAATTTTACAAAAAATAAATCTTACAAAACTTTATTAAATCTTACTAAAAAATGTACTAAATCTGACTAAAAACTAAATCTTTCTAAAATTTTAGTAAATTTTTTACAAAAAATTACTAAAAATTGTTTTTACTACAATTTGCTCTAGAAAAGCTAAGTTTTAAAAATCTTTTAATAAAATTTTTATATTGTGTAGAAATTTTGAGAATTTTTTCAACCGAATATTTAGGAAATCTTTAATATTAAAATTAAGGTGAATATTGCGGAAATCTTTTGAGTGTAAAATTGGGAGATAAAAATTAAAAAATGCTTTTTTTTGTTCTCAAAGAGAATTCGAAGAACATTTTAAAGTGGAAAATGTTTCTTTAAAAAAAAGAATATGAAGAGAATTGACATTTGAACCATTTTTGGATTTAGGATAAAATTGACATTTAATTTAATTGAATTTCATTATTTGTTTTGCAGGCGATCTTGAGTAAATCTTCAGTATCTGTGGAGATTGAAGTGAGACCGAGACAACTTGTTCCAGACACGAATTGCTTCATCGATTATTTGCCTCAGCTGCAGAGCATCGCCAAGGCCGTTTCCGGTGCTCAACCGATTTACACATTGATGGTTCCACTCGTCGGTAAGTGCATTGATAATAATTAAATACATTTTATTTTTTTTTATTAAATTCTTTTCTTGTCTCTACCGATAAAATACTCTCATGTCAAACATTTAAAAAATTTTTTTTTTGCTCTTCCCCTTCTTCCCCTTATGCCCCTTTTTCTATTTTTAATATATTGAGAGTTTGTATTTTTAGATATAACCACAATCTTTAAGAATACGATACGTAATTGGTTTGATTCTTTAAAAAAAATAGTTAAATAAAATAGTTTGAAAAAATTTAAACCAAGATTTTTTTTGTTACTAATTTTTACTAAAACTTACTAATTTTGACTTTTTGACACTGGAATTTACAAATCGTTGCTAAAATTTACAAATTGTTACTAAAATTTACTAATTTCGACAAAAACTTACTAATTTTGACTAAAACTAACTAATTTTGACTAAATCTTACTAATTTTTAATAAAACTTTCTAATTTTGACTAAAACTTACTAATTTTGATTAAAACTTTCTATTTTTGACTAAAACCTACTAATTTTGGCTAACACTTTCTAAGTTTGATTAAAAATTACTAATAAAACTATAAATTACTAAAATTTAAAAATTGTTACTAAACAAAAATTAACAAATTTCACTGGAATTTACTATTTTTTTCTAAGATACTATAAAGTATTTCTAAAATTTTAAAATTGTTACTGAATTTTATTTATTTTGACTAAAACTTACTAATTTTGATTGAAACTTTCTAACCTTAACTAAATCTTACTATTTTCGATTAAAACTTACTATATTCGATTAAAACTTTCTAATTTTGACTAAAACCTACGAATTTTGACTAATACTTTCAAAGTTTGACTAAAAGTTAATAATAAAACTATAATTTACTAAGATTTACTAAAATTTAAAAGCATTCCTAAAAATTCACAAATTGTTACTGAAATCCATTAGTTTATTTAATAAAGTTTTTCTAAATTTTATTAAAACTTAAAACAGATTTAAAAAAATTTATAAAATTTACTAAAATATTCTAATTTTAGCCATAATTTACTAACTTTTAGTCAAATTTACTTATTTTTTTAATGAAAATTCACTTATTTTTACTGAAATTAAGAAAGATTTTCCAAAATTTATAGAGTTTTACTAAAACACACCAAGTTTTACTAAAAATTACCAAAATGAACTGAATTCACTAATTTCTACTGAAAGTGACTAATTTTTACTGTAATTTACTAAAACTTCCAAAATTCACAAATTTATTTTGCTAAAATTCAATAATGTTTTACTAAAAGTTATTAAAGTTTAAAAAAAAAATTTCTGAAATTCAAAAATTGTTGCTTAACTAAAAATAATAAGTTTGATTAGAATTTATAAAATTTTACTAAAATTTACTAAGTATCACTAGAATTTAATATTTTTGCTCTAAAATATTCTAAAGTGTTTCTAAAATTTACCAATTGTTACTAAAATTTATTAAATTTTGAATAAATCTTACTAATTTTTATAGAAACTTTCTAATTTTGACTAAAATTTACTAATTTTGAGTAAAACTTTTCTAATATTGTCTAAAACTTTCTAAAGTTTGACTGAAACTTATACTATTTAAACTTAAATAAAAACTTAAATTTTCTTAGTTTTAAAAAAATTAAAAGTTGTTACTAAACTAAAAAAAGTTTTACTAAAATTTATGGAAATTGTTGCTGAAATTTAGTACCTAAGTTTTACAGAGAGTTTACAAAATTTCACTAAAAGTTAGTAAGTTTCACTAGAATTTACAAAGTTCTATTAAAATTTACTAGACATCACTAAAATCTAGTAACTATTTCTAAAATATAATTTTCTAATAAAATTAACAAATTATTAGAAAATTTTATAAAATATTACTAAAATTTACAAATTATTACTAAAGATTACTGACTTTTATGAAAATTTACTAAGTTTCAGTAAAAGTTACTAATTTTTATTAAAGTTTACTAAAATTTACTAGAATTTACTAAAACTTACAAAAAAATTAGTAAATCTTACAAAACTTTATTAAATTTTACTAAAATTTATTAAACTTACGAAAGTGTTATTAAATCTTACAAAAGTTTATTAAATCTTACTAAAATTTACTAACTTTGACTAAAATTTATTAAAATTTTAGTAAATTTTTACAAAGAATTACTAAATCTGACAAAAATTTACCAAATCTTACTAAAAAAATTGTTAAATTAAAAGATTATTATTATTAAAAGATTAAATAAAAGATTTTTAAAATCAACGTTTTATTAAAAAAAAAATCTTACTAAAATTTAGCAAATTTTATAGAACATTACTAAATCTTACAAAAGTGTACTAAATTTTACTAGAATTTAATAGTTCTAATTAAAATTTACTTAAACTTACAAAAATTTATTAAATCTTACAAAGCTTTATTAAATTTTTACTAAAATTTACTAAATCTGACTAAAATTTAATAATTTACTAAAATTTTTGCTAAAATTTAACTTATTTTTACTAGAATTCACTTATTTTTCCCCAAACAATTATAAAGTTTTCTAAAATTAACAGAGTTTTACGAAAACCGATTATAAACTGAAACTTGCACATTTTGCTAAAACTCACTTCTAAGTTTCACTGAGAAAACAAATTTTTATTATAATTATTATAATTTGTCTAAAATATAATAAAAATAATTTTAGAATAAATAGGTAAATAAACAAAATTTTTCAAGTTCCTTTTTTTTGTTCTCCTGAATAAAAAATAACGAAGACAAGGTTTATTGCGATAGAAAATAATGATGAATCAAAAATTAAAGGATATTTAATTCGATTTATGTAAGAAAATTATTTACAAAATAAAATAGAGAAAAAAATATTCAGAAGAATCATCAATCACTGTCTGGTAATTATCGCAGCATTGGCGAAATTTAACCTTCGAAACATATCCGAAAATGATGAGGCATATTTTTTTTTTAATTCAAGATGACGTTAATTTACCAAAAATAAATTTTTCTCAAGAAAAGAATTTTTCAATAAAAGTATGATGAGAGAATGAGAGAGAGGACTTTTTAGAGAACATTTTTATTGACCTCGGAGAAAGAATTCTTTTCTTTTAAAAATTAAAAAAAATTTTTAAATAAATTTTTTTATTTTAAGAATTTTGGGAATTATTAACTTTTTTAAACAGTTTTTTAATATTTTTTTGTGGTTATTTAATGGAAAATTTTTTATTTAGTAAATTATTTATTATTTAGGTATTTTAGTTTTCTATTTTTTTTAGTTATTTTAATTTTTTATTTTTAATTAGGTATTTTAGTTATTTTAGGTTTTAGTTATTATTGCTTAAAGCTATTTTAGTTATTTTTTTTAAATTTATTTTTATTGACTCGCTCGCGGGTCAATAATGTTTCTATTATTACCCTAGGGCAATAATGTGTATTGTTACTAAAATTTATAAAATTTTTACTAAAACTTAATATTTTTGATTGAAACTTTCTGGCTTTTACTAAAATTTACTAATTTTTACTAAACTTAACTTATTTTTGCTAAATATTATTTATTTCAAGTATTTTAACTAAATTTTAATTATCTTTACTAAATTTTGCAAAGTTTTCTCAAAAATTTACTAAATTTTCTTAAAATAAACTAAATTGTTAAAATAAATTAATTAAATTGACTAAATGATATAAAGATTCATTAAACTTTACTTACTTTTTGCTAAATTAATTAAGTTTTAGTAAAATTTATTAAAATTAAAAAAAAAATTTTCAAAAATTTATAAAGATTTGAAAAAATATTCTAAATTTAGCTAAAATTTTCTTACTTTTAGTGAAATTTTTAGTAAAATTTACTAATTTTTAAAAACTTATTTATTACGAAAATTACTTATTTTTACTAACAAAGTTTAATGACAAAATTTAAATTCTACATTTAGTAAAAAAATAGTAAAATTTACTACATTTTAGTAAAAAATAATAAACAATTTACTAGATTTTAGTACAAAAAAATAGTAAAATTTACTACATGTTAGTCAAAAATAGTAAAATTAACTAAATTTTAGTACAAAAAATAGTAAAATTTACTACATTTTAGTAAAAAAATATTAAAATTTACTATATTATAGTAAAAAATAGTAAAATTTACTACATTTTAGTACAAAAAATAGTAAAATTTACTACATGTTAGTCAAAAATAGTAAAATTAACTAAATTTTAGTACAAAAAATAGTAAAATTTACTACATTTTAGTAAAAAAATATTAAAATTCACTACATTTCAGTAAAAAATTTACTACATTTTAGTACCAAAAACAGTAAAATTGACTACATTTTAGTATAAAAAATAGTAAAATTTACTACATTTTAGTAAAAAATAATAAACAATTTACTAGATTTTAGTACAAAAAATAGTAAAATTTACGACATGTTAGTCAAAAATAGTAAAATTAACTAAATTTTAGTACAAAAAATAGTAAAATTTACTACATTTTAGTAAAAAAATATTAAAATTTACTATATTATAGTAAAAAATAGTAAAATTTACTACATTTTAGTACAATTTTATTAAATTTATTATTATTATTATTTATTTTTTAATTTAATTAAATTTTTTATTACGTAAGTATACCAATTTTTAAAAAAAATCGGAGCTATGTTGCTTTCGGAAGTATATCCGTAAAATTTACTACATTTCAGTAAAAAATAGTCAAATTCACTACATTTTAGTCAAAAATAGTAAAATTTACTACATTTCAGTAAAAAATAGTCAAATTCACTACATTTTAGTCAAAAATAGTAAAATTTACTAAATTTTAGTTAAAAATAGTAAAATTTACTAAATTTTATTAAAATTGATTAAATTTTCATAAAATTCAGTGAAAATTTCATTTTGTCTTTAAATTATGAAATTTTTCCCTCAAAAGGCGAGAAAAAATAATTTTATAGAATAAAATTAAAAAAAAAATTTCTAAGAGCGGTTTAAAAATATGATAATATTTTTTTGGCGCACATGGGATGATCCGAATTTCAGAGACTTTTA